TCAACACTGACGGAGATCAGCAGCAGTCAACGAACTCCCTTGGTCTGACGATGACTGCATGCAAATTATTACTATTAGAAAAGGAAAAAGGTTCTAGAATAACAATATGAATATTACTTTCACTGTTCAAACACACGTAGAATTATGGATTTCTAGCTGGGTATATATCTCGATATTCAATCCTTGTGTATTGGAAAATCATGTCACAGCTTTATTTTTCAAAAGAAGATTTACGTTTATTTTCCTATTTGTTGTTTAAATAACCATGCCAATTTATCAGAAAATCGATGCTCCGAAATACTTACTTCAATAACAAATGGGCAATTTTGAAATTTAGAGCTTGCAGTAGGAAACTAAAATGCAGCAATGGCGAAAGAGCCCTCACATATCATGCGTTGTGTTCTACCAGTGACATAGTAACCGGGGCATTTAACTTTTTACCACTTTTAAGATATGACAATTAAGAATTTGCCACTCGCAGTGACGAATCCTTAGTTACCACTTGTAAGAGTTGCAAATAGTTAAATATCTCTAGAGAAACTATGTTACACTTATTTTGCATTTTTCTTATGTCCTTAATTTTAGCAAAAGGTGCTGGGTAAAGATAGGAATACAATGAAACACGTAATTGAATTTCTTCCAATGGTTAGCCCTTTCAAGATATAGATTTAAAGGTTTTCGGAAAATATGTTAATAGTATGTTGGCATTTGTGAAAACAAAGAAATGGGATGGTATTTTGGAATATTTTGATAACTGAAGAAGGATGGTTCACCTGTTTCAAGAACAAGATTATCCTACGTATGTGTAGGATGAATGAGACCCTTAGATTTTTCTCTTCTTAACTGGTAATTTGCTTTTGTTTTTTTTTCTTTTTCAGACCTAGTTTTTTTAAAAAAAATAAATATTCTTTTTATTATAATTTACACTACTAGCATGGCCTGGTAACAATTTAAGTAAAAAAAACTTCTCATCTTCTCATCCAAACCTCTTCTTAGTCACATGCCTTTACACTGTTCGAATTGGACGAACTGGATACATATTAAATTTGCCATGTTTTGTTGCGGAAAAAGTCACGGATGTTTTCTCTTGGTTTGGAAGTATCAACTTCCCTACTTTTCCAGGGGAAGATGGAGTTGCCACTTGCCTACAAGGACAGCTCCATCATCTCTATCTCCTTTTGGCATGGATAGATAGCAACAGCAATAGCCAACCCCCCCCCCCCCTCCCCCCTCTCCACCGCACGATGCATAAGCAATGGCCGAGATCATTTTCAGCCCATGGAGCACCTAACTTGTTTGACATGGAAAGCACACCCATCTAGCCGACAATGGCTAATTAGTGATTGACAAACCAGAGCGCAAGAGAATTAGCTCTGCATGTACTAGACACGCAAACTTAATTGTCTACGTATGACATTTTGTACGGATTAACCAATCAAGTGGGATGGATTATTTCAGATAAAATGATAATATGACTATTTCGAACGCGTATACGGCTCGCGCCCTAATGAGACCATAGCATATAATGTCTTTTAGTCATAGAGCCACATGCATATCCCTTAGGATTTTCTTATTTTTATGGTGAATTAGGGGCATAAACAGGGATCCTAAATCCCAAGTAAGCATTGTTCGTCTCTTAGATATAAAGTTCAACCCCACATAAATACATTCATATCTATTTGATTTCTACTTTACCTATATTAATTTTATTTTGATATACTCATGTTTTCGATTGTGCATAATCAGATTGTTGGCATAAATCTCTCTATCTTATTAGTTATTACTAAGAGAAATTTTATAGTACTGGAGAGGTACCAAAAAAATAACAAAATTTATAGGAAAACTTCAGTAACTTCCGATACCTTTTTTTAAAATCATTCTATTACAAATATCGGAGAACTCGAACACTTTACCAAGATTGTAACTTCGCGCACCATATAGCCAGTTTCTTTAGAGCTTGCTTGACCGTACAATCCGGATAACCTCACTCTCCCTAGCCGAAGTACATGTGTGGTGGCCATTGGCTTCCCAGAAAGCTGGAAAAGAACACAACAAATTCAATTAAAGAGATCAAAAGAGAGACATTGATGATGGATCGACTGCTGCTGCATGGTTGCTGACAAAATTGTACAGTGGTACAAAACATTACAACTGATCGATCGATTGATCAGTCAATTGGCAAGAGGGTTAATTCAGAGAGAAGAAAGGCCTCAGTACCATGTGTAAACACCCCTTCATCGGTTTCACTTTCACCGGAGAAAAGGTTGCAATCAGAAGCTCTATCAAATAGTCCAGCTTTCTGTTCAAATTCCGATAAGCTGTAGTTGTAGAATCTAGAAAATGAATTAGAAATTAAAAGCTAGAAAAACCAGTTTCTCTATATTTAAGCTGGCTACCAACTAGTTGCTTCTAAGAAATTTTAAAATTTTAAGCTCTCTTAACAGATTCTATAGTTAGCTAGTACGGTTAGCTGGCTTGGGCAGTGTGGGCCCGGGAGAGGATAATTAACTATGAATCTGACAAGTGAACCCGGCCAATCAGGAGCTGCCAAGTCAGAGGCCCTGTGGTTTTAGGAGTGATTGCTAGGTGGTTCTTGGGTCAATTTCTTTGGCTGGATGTTGATCTTGAACCAAGTGATCAGATCAGCTCCGTGCATGCGTCGTATTTTAAAAGCTTATCATGGGCTCCTTTAAATGAAGGAATTTTAGTGCCGAATACTCACTTAAATTAGTTCAATTCGTAAGAAATTCCTCTAAAATTCATCAGTTTCAAATGAGTATCTACACTGATATAGACCCCCTTTAATTTGTAGAGAAAAACATAGAATACTTGGAAGATTTCAATCTTACAGGAAAAATATCCTAAAAAGGCCTTTGAAACAAAGGTTCAAATTCTATCATTTCCTTCAAAATTATTATGAAATAGAAAATCCTACAAATATTTTGGAAGAAAATAAGCGTAAGGTCCTACATCATGTTTTTCTTCATTTTATGACTCTAAATTCTTGTGTGTCCCCTGTTTGTTTTTAATTCATATAAGACTTCAATAGGTATGACATTTTATTTCCAAGTTTTTCACATACATGTGTTTTCAGAATCCCGTGTTTCGAAACGGGGGCCTAAAATGCATATTGTTACGAAAACTTAGAAATTTCATATCTTCAAGATGTTGTCATCAAAATACATTGACATGATTACATCTAAATAAAAAGTTAGTACTATGATTTTGCAAAAGCTAGAGAATAGCATTATTGTACTTCCAAAAAAATATCTTTATTAATTGTATACCAACTAAACAGCATCATGCAAAGAAGGTACTCCTACTTGGTTGTGCAATTCACCAAATATCGGACCAGATCGAATTTTCTCATGGAAATTAATAACCTCTAGAACACACAACTGCAAGCTGCCACATATACATATGCGGAAAAACTGGAGTACGCTGCAATTGTTTTCAAAGCATTTTCGCTGCGTGTTTGAGAAAAAATGAAAATCAAATGTCACTGCGACTTGATGCAGGTAGTATCATACACACAGTACTACAAGACCTTTTTTGCCAGCTGTCACAATCGTACGCCGATGGTTCACGGAATGACGGCAAGATCTGACGGCTGACAAGATGCTCTCTCTCTCTGTTGTTAAATCTGATGACGGACGGCCTAGCCTGACTTCCAATCCAAGCACCGGTTGGTATAGTTGTTCTCTTTTTTCCTTATTTTTTTCTAGTGACAATGAAATGGTGATGCAAAATAGTACTACCTCCGTCCCAAAATAAGTGCAGTTTTACACTATTCACGTTCAACGTTTAACCGTCCGTCTTATTTGAAAAATTTATGAAAAAATTAAAAACATTTAGTCACACATAAAGTACTATTCATGTTTTATCATCTAATAGTAATAAAAATAATAACCATAAAAAATTTTCAAATAAGACGGACGGTCAAACGTTGAACATGAATAGTGCAAAACTGCACTTATTTTGGGACGGAGAGAGTAGTACCTGATGAATATATTATGCAACATGTGTTTAAAATTACACTCACATGTTTTTGTGGTTACACTTTTCTTGTCTTCTCCTAATAACTTGCCTAGAGTATGGAGTGGTTACTGGTCGAAGAGATATTACTTCAATAAAGCTTAGAAAGTTCTAATTTGGTCTTCTTATAAGATGTTACTGGTCAAAAAATTATGGCCCTCCCAAAACAAAAATTTTCACGTTGTCACATCGAATGTTTGGACACATGCATAGAGTATTAAATATAGGAAAAAAATTGCACATATTGTGTGTAAATTGCGAGACCAATCTTTTAAGCCTAATTACGCCATGATTTGACAATATGGTGTCACAGTAAACATTTGCTAATGACTGATTAATTAGGCTTAATAAATTTGTTTCGCATTTTTCTGGCGGAATTTATTAGACTATATTTAATACTTTAAATGTATGTCGTATATCTGATGTGACAACTAAAACCAAAATTTTTTCCCAACTAAACAAGGCCTATACTTTTTTAAAAAAAAAACTTTTGTCTAATATAGCATCAATTTTGAGGGTTACATTATTTCGGCAAATACCGGTAATCCAAACCTTACGTCTAATCAACCTAAGAAAACGTCCAAAGAATCGATAGAAAATATTCATGTAAAGTATTGTAATTTCGGTGGATTAAGCTGATTTGTTGCTAAAGAATCAGAAAGATTCATATGAAATATTTGTAAATCCGAATAATCAAGTCGATTTGTTGCTGAAAGATCTCTATGATATACCAAAATCTTTTAAACATTTTTTTTTTGCGAAAAAGAATCTTTTAAACTTGAAAAACATATACGCCATACTCATGTACCATCCATTTTGTCCTTTAAAAAACCAAAGTCAGACCAATGGCACCGAAAGAAAAAAGGAAGGAAAAAAAAAAGGTTTGCTCATGACATCTCCAGTTCTCCACCTCTGGCATCCATTATTGAGTTTATTAATCCTCCATCCTTTTAAGACCCCCACAAGAAGCTGCTGCTCTTTGTTGGCGTTGCTTGCTGCTGACCAAGCTCTCTTCTTCTCCTCCTCCTCCTTTTCGTCCTGACATCCTCATCACCCCCCTTTGCAATTTGCATCATCATCCTCACCTCCTCTTTGGTTTAAATACCCTGTCTTAGCAGCAGCCACAGCACAGCTTCCTTCCTGCACTCTCTGCTCTCCTTGGAGCTTTTCTTTCTCAAGAGACAAGAAAGATTTCAGAATCTTTGGATGGGGATCTGTGCATCTTCAGAGCAGCTGGAGCATGTTCATGAGACAGATGAGAGCATTGTGTATGTGAAGGATGAGCAAGGAAGGGGGGGTAGGGGGGTGGAGAGTGGGGGGGCTAGGAAGGTGGCCTCCCTCTTCTCCCAGAGGGGCAAGAAAGGCCCCAACCAGGACTCTGTCATCCTCTGCCAGGTATCATCTTCAGTTCTTTACTCTCTGTCCCTGAATCTTTGCTTTCTGTTTGATGTGCTCAGCTCAGATCAATCTGCTCAATTTCTCCTCTTGATGAGGCTGCTCAGGCCAATTGTTTGGTTTTGTGCTCAAAAGGGTTCAGATTAGTTCAGGGCTTCAGGGTGTTCTTAGAGTCCATGATTTGAGCTTCCATGTGCTTATTAGGCCAGCAGTTAGTTCACTACCTTTTTTTTTTAAAAGGAAGAGTTAGTGGAGTACTTGGTAGAAAGAGAGAAAATTCTTTTCTTTCCCTTGCAGAATTGCTTGGTATGATAGAATTAGTGCCTTTCTTGTTGAATTATTTGTAGGTGTGATGTGTGGTGTGCAGTGATTGCCTCTTGTTGGGGGTGTTCTGTTCTTGATTCTGGCTGCAGAATTTTGGGGCTCTCAACCTTGTTTTCTTCCTCTCTTTTTTCCATTTCTTGAAAGTTCTTGTGGCTGTATACAGTATAGTAGATATTTAGTTGAATAGTGGGGATGGATGGATTCATTCTTGAGGCTTAAATTAAAATATTGCGTTTAATTTTCTTTTCTTCCATGTCTAATCATGAATATATTAACCTTGACATGGAAAAAATGTAATTTTGGTTGGTCTTGGCCAAGTCTTACCCCCTTGGTTACCTTCTTGACTTTCCAATTTCTTCACTTAAAAATATTCCCATGAAAAAGAATATCATCTTTGGTGTTTTTTCTTTCACCTTGTAAGAACAAATTTCCTCTCCATGTTGTTACAACCAATCATTAACACTAAAAAATTAGTTTAGAAGTTGACAAACTGTTTATAACCTGACAAGCTATTCCAATTTTACTTCTTGGGAAGAGAGGTGGTGAAGGAAAACTGTCAAAAGGTCAAGGGGGTTAATCAGACAACTTGAGATCATGAACAGTGATTAGTAGTACAGCTAGGTTGTGCTAATCTACTACTACAGTAGCAATAGCTGTTAGATGTGATCTGCCAAAGGACAGTTTTGCACTTAAAAAAAAGTGTAATCACTTTAGACTTTTCCTGCTCAATGATTGAACCTCATGTGTCCCAATCTCTAGGCACACACACCATGATGTTCCCAAATCTTCTCCAGAAAGTTTGCCTTTTTTTAACAAACACCACTAATCTCACCTACCTATACTACCATCTTAATTTGTTAACAGCAGCATCATCATCAATCTCGAGATGTTCTCCATCAGGAGAATATCTGAAAAACTTGCAAGTTTTTTAGTAGAGTTTTTGGGTGATCAAACATCACATGCAATGCAAAGATGCAATGTGGTCTGGATTCTGAAGCTGATGAGTGTTTCTTGGGTTCGTCAGGGATTCGGCATGGAGGACGGCGTGTTCTGCGGCGTGTTCGACGGCCATGGCCGGTGCGGGCAATTCATCAGCAAGCTGGTGCGGGACTACCTCCCGTTCATGATCCTGAGCCACCGGAACGCGCTGCTCCTGGCCGACGCCGCCGCCGACGACGACGACGACGCCGCGTTCAGCGACGACGCGGCGGCGTCGTCGTCCGCGGACAGCAGCGGCAACTCGTCGCCGCAGCCGTCGGCGTCGGCGTCGGCGCAGATGCTGGAGGAGTGGAGGCAGGCGTGCGCCAGCGCGTTCGCCGCCATGGACGGCGAGCTCAAGCTCCAGCCGAACCTCGACTGCGCGTTCAGCGGCACGACGGCGGTGTGCGCCATCAAGCAGGGCAGGGACCTCATCATCGCCAACCTCGGCGACTCGAGGGCGGTGCTCGCCACCATGTCGGACACCGGCTACCTCCAGGCGGTGCAGCTGACGGTGGACCACAAGCCGAGCGTGCCGGAGGAGGCGGCGAGGATCAAGCGGAGCGGGGGGAGGGTGTTCGGGCTGAAGGACGAGCCGGGGGTGATGCGGGTGTGGCTCCCCGGCGAGAACTCGCCGGGGCTCGCCATGGCGAGGTCGCTGGGCGACATGAGGCTGAAGCGGCACGGCGTGATCCCGGCGCCGGAGGTGACGTCGCGGCGCGTGACGGGCGCCGACCTGTTCATGGTGCTCGCCACGGACGGGGTGTGGGACGTGCTGAGCAACGAGGAGGTGGTGTCCATCGTGTGCGCGACGCCGCGGAAGCAGCACGCGTCGAAGGCGGTGGTGGAGGCCGCCGTGCAGCGGTGGCGGGCCAAGTTCCCGACGTCCAGGGTGGACGACTGCTCCGCCGTCTGCCTCTTCCTCCACGACCACACCCTCGGCACGGCCGCCGCCGCCTCCGCCGCAGCCGCCGCGGCCGCCAGAAAGGCGCGCAGGGCCTCCACCGCCACGCCGCCGGCGAGCTGAGGACACAAAGAAGCTCTCGCTCCGGCGAGCTCGATATTGTCCGTGTTTTTGCAGTTTTTGTTGATCTTGATGTGCTGCAAATACCTACAACCTCCGTCCCATAAAAAACCAAATCCTAGCAATGGACCTGGATATATGTGTGTCCAGATTCATCGCTGGAATTTGACTCTTTTTTTTTTTGGACAGAGAGAGTATGAATTAGTAGATAAATATAGTCTATTGTAACATAGTTTAGAGAAGATGGGAAAAAAAGAGAGGCAATTGCGAAAATGCAAATGTTGCCAAGAAAAGAGAGGGAAAAAAGAAGCTGTTTTTACTTTTGATGATCATAGTGAGGGGGAGATATTGTAATGGCTGAAGAATGGCAATCAGCCAATCTGATGTTGTTTGTGAGATACCAATTGCTTGTTGGCAATTTGGAACTTTGGAATGACATTGTAAATACCTCGCATAAAAAATTGTAAATACTTGGATATGTTCCTTTTATATTTCTAGTGTTCTTTACTAGACTTTTAGTCTTATCATTACCAATAAACTCAGACATGGCTGAGTCACGAGATAAAACCATAAATGAACTAGGACACCAAAACCCTACATAAAACCCAAACGGTGAACTAGGACATTATAAACCCTATGATTACTATCGTTATCCTTAGAGGGGAAGAGCTAAATAAAAAGGCAAAAGGCAAAACTAAATAAAAAAAATGTTTGTTGACTTTTGCATAGCATTCTTTTAAAGGTGCAACAATATTTTGAACATATTAGTAAGGTCTAAAAATTACTTATTATTAATTATGCAAGTTTGTTCTCCATTTTCTCTCTTCTGGAGCAATATAGGAAACCATCATACAAGAATTTAAAATATCAAACCACACTTGATGCAAATCACAATATAATTAGTAAGAATTAAGAAATGCAAGGTGAAACAACAAGTTTTAGACATGGTTTCACAAAACAGAATACAGACATAAAATTCATATGTATGCCATAGCTTGTAACCAATGAATATGCACGGAAGCAAAAGTATGATCCCGTCATTAGATTTACAAAGGAACACAATCTGGCATCTGGCATCTATGGGGGAGAAACGTCAGTGGTGCCAAGTTTAACAATTGCTGGATAGAGCTTGGCTGTTGCCGTGGCTACAGTCATCATATTCAACTTATACCACAATTGTCGATGCTTCCATTGAGTTTGACAATTGTCGGCGGCACGTTAACGCCACTGCTTTTGTCTGGTATCGCATCGATGGGTGAGAGGGAGAAGAGAGTTCTAGCATCATGGTAACTTCGTCAATCCCAATTACTATCCACTGAAGGCTACATGTGCTACAACGCAGGTATATGATTGTAAAACCGTTTTAAAACAAATCCATGTCAGCAAAACGACTCGTTAAAACTACTCTATGGGTGATATTTTTTTATAAAATGGTGATATTAAATGAGTGGATTAGAAGCTAAGGGTCTATTTGGACCACTTTGATAGTGTGCGCAGGAGGCTTGTTCAAAACAAAACTGAACGCTTAGTTTGTGGCCCCCAAATTAGCACATGAGCAAAATTTAACCAAACAAAAGATCCACCACAAAATGTAACTAGCGCTTGTGCATCACGCATTTCAATCCAGACGGCTCCATTGCATCTCAGAATTTCAATCGAGGCGGCTACATTCTCCTATATTTTTCAACGAGGCACGACCGTACGGTGTACGGTGAGTGAACTGTGTTTCTAGACCAAAAAGGCCAGCGTGGGCCCACGTCAGCCAGCCAGGGGCCCCACCGGTCAGAGCCGAGGTGGGACCGGGTCACAGAACAACAACGACAACAAACCACGCGGTTCAAAGACTCGACAAATCCAGCGGCGCCTCGACGGAGAAGCCGAAATTCGATCTCCGATTTCTGTTTTCCAAACCGGCAAATTCCAAGTAGTAGCTGAATTGAATTGAATTCGGGACCCCCCAAAACGACATGTGAGGAATCAATGGTCAGAATTCAGATGCGTGCACTGGAAGAACAGTGGATTTGAGCAGCATTTGGATGCCGCCGATCAATCGACGTGATGGGGATTGAACTGTTTGAATGTTGAACCGTTCAATTTAGAGGGGACAACAAATCGTTTACCGGTTAATAGTACGATCATGAATACTAGTTCCTCTGTTCTAAAATATAACAAATCCTAAAGTTTAAAGTTTATCTCAAATATAGCAGCTTATTACAGGTAAAAGATAACTTTTACCATTAAACGATCTATACTATCTCTAATAATCTAGACATATACCTCATCCATCCGGAGAAAGCAACAAGTTTTTTTTTATCTATTTCTTAATATCTGTGATAAAAATTAAAATCTTTGGTATATTTTAGGATAGAGTATAATTTATGATGCAATGTATGCACTCTAGATGGGATTATGTAGTAATCAGCATAAGGTTTGACGTTTGATGCCCCAAGATCATGTCCAATCATGTCTTGGAGCTGTACAAGCAACACATTCTCTACGCCATTAATTACGTAGAGAGCCACTTGTATTAAGGGGGCCGTTGGAGGATTTGACTCTATCCATACGGGGGCAGCAGCACACCAGCAGAGGCTAGTGGGGCCCACTTGACCAGCTTGGTATTGGGTGCTTGCGTTCTTTTTCCCTTCAATATAAATTCTTTGGGTGATTGCTAGAAGTAATTCGTGTGCTTTCTCACTTGAGTTTTGACTTGTGACTTTGTGAGTACTCAATGTACCATCACCTCCTATATGTTTAAAGTATTTGTTTGTGTTCCAAATTCGTCTTATAGCGACCAACTTGACGCGCGTTAATGTCGATTAAGATTGGGTTCGAGGGCGAGAGTGACAAGAGGGGAAATAGGAAGAGGAAAATGCCATGATAGTATTGACAAAACCATGTGCGAAGGGGGGATTGTATCGCAGTTGTGTTGCTCCCCATTTCGGTTTTCCCCACTTTACCCAAACTACTTTTTTGTTGATCTTGGTTATACAAAAGGTACGCAAGGACCCGTTTTATTGGACTGTACGTTACTCGTACACCGATGGTGAATGTAGATCCTCCAAGTTTTTAGATTAAAAAAATAATGTGTTCGACGTGCACATCAATGTATGTGTGTGGTGCGGACTGTGGAGTGAGCGTGCATCTTAAGGCTGTGTTCTTTTCCTCAGTGTTCCCAACCCCTCTCTTTCGTATTCCGCGCGCACGCTTTTCAAAATGCTTAACGGTGCGTTTTTTTTTTAAAAAAAGTTTCTATACGAAAGTTGTTTAAAAAATCATATTGATCCATTTTTTTTAAAAAAAATAGCTAATACTTAATTAATCACACGCTAATGAACCATGCATTCATTTAATACGCAGTAGATGAACTCTCAACCTACAGAAACACACAGCCTTACTATATTTACAGTTCAGAAAACCATGTGAGAAGAAGAATAACGGTGGGCGGAAGTAAGAACCAAACAGGTTAACAAACGGTCGATGCGACGGTAGCTACAATATGGAAGGAGAAGGGTTGCGATCGATCTTCGCGAGCCCCCAGCTGAAAGATAAGGATAACGACGATGGCGAACGCGACGGTGGCTCACCCAAAAGGATGAGGTGGCACAGGGGGGGTAGAGTTGCACGGTAGCGATGGCCTTCTAGTAGACAGTGTTGGCGCCAAAAAACCAGCAAACAACATGACAGTGAGGGTGCAGCCGCCACTGCCAACAACATGACAGTTTTGCAGAGAAGAAGATGACACAACAAACGCCAGCCAGCAAAGTGTACACCTAGCGACCTCTACTATAATATTCCCTCTGTTTCAAAATATTTGACACCGTTGACTTTTTAAGTATATGTTTGACCGTTCGTCTTATTTAAAAAAGTTTGTGAAATATGTAAAACTATATGTGTATATGAAAGTATATTTAACAATGAATCAAATGATATAACAAGAATAAATAATTACTTAAATTTTTTTGAATAAGACGAATAATCAAACACGTACTAAAAATGTCAACAGTGTCAAACATTTCGAAACGGAGGGAGTAACTTATTAACTGGAATCACATCGGTAGAAGAAGATAAGCCCGGTTGAAAAACCGGGCCAAAGTGTCGAGGTCACACGCTTCCGCGTTCAAACAGGAGCGTCGTCAAGGTCAAGAACAACTAATAACTTCACATGACATTGCCTGTCAAAGATTAATTACTGGGTCCCCAAACTGATAAAAGAAGAAGACAGAAAAACATTGGATTGATCCGAATTCATTCCAAAGCTCAGACGCATACAGGCAAAGCACCGGGTAAACTGGAAAGTGTAAACGTAGCTCAACTTGCACGGAGGCTCAAGAGTTGAGTGACAGCAGCAGGGGGTTGAAAAAGGAACAAGCAATTAACAACAGGCAAACGAAACCAAACACTGTGAAAGAGAAACCAGCGTTCTCCAGGAAGTAGCTGAAGCTGCACCTGCAACTTCTATCTCACCTTCTTCCAGTTGGCACCAACCAATCTTCCTCAGAAGATGGCTAAAAATCAAATTTCTGGGTGTGATCGGCTACAGATTTATTTTTTCTTGGAAACCAAAATGTCCATGAATGGTATTCATATCTTTGCTACAGCTAACAGAAAGAAAAGTGTGTTATACACATTTCAGTTTACGGGAGGATTAAGAAGAATCGAAGGTGATACAAGCCACAAATTTTTGATCACGTGAAGATTAATGAATGAACAAGGCAGCAAAGAATAGCTACAATAACTGTAGTAAAATTTTATGTTCAAAGATTTGGATGTCCATGACAAGAGATGGTTGTTAGCCCTGGCTAGGTGGCATTACATGTGAAGAAATGAAAAAGAAAAGAAAAAAAAATCTTACAGCCCTGTTAAGCAGATATTTTCTGTGACCTTCGGTGAAATTAGCATCAGCATCGCCTATCTTCTGCTTTATCTTTCAACTGCTGATTCTGGCTACAAGGCAGCTACAATCATATCTTGGGACCAAAAATGTTGATATGATTAGATATATTTAACATTTACTAAAGAATCGGAACGGAGCAGCCTGCTACTGTCGCAAGTAGCATCGGGAGTGGTCTCGTGGAAACCGACTGCCTCTTTTGGCCCCAGTCATGAAATTGACAACAATGTCCTTTGCACCATCTCCCTGGTTGCATGTGAAAGTAGAAGGCTTCACGTCAACCAAACCAAAAAAACAATTTTCTCTCTAGCCTGTTACCTATGCATAGTACATGTACAAGCTATTTGCAGCAGCACACGCGATGGAATTCTCAGTTGGGTGCCATGCAAGATGGAGCAACTTTGTTGAAAGATCGTAAGAATTTCCATTAGCATCAACTCCCGGATTTTCTCCACCTGTTTCATATGAGCTAATGTGATGAGAAAAGGGACAATGAGAACTGGACCAGTCCTAGTCCATGAATGTGGCTGAAACTATTAAGTCTAAAGAGAAAATAGTCACTATTAAGTCTAAAGAGAAAATAGTCATATACCTCTCCTCACGGCACGGGTCAATGAGG